TTTTCGCTAAATAGACTTTTTGGATGTTTTGTATGGAATTTATTTTCACTGATTTTTGACCAGTTGAATGTAAAAAATAGGAAAAAAAATTAATTCGCTGGATTTTATTTTCACTGAATTTCTTCAGCAAAAATCAATTCCAAGTGAAAATTAAGTATTCTACAGTAAATAATAAAGCTCAAAAAAAGTCACTGAATGCAAACGATGTCACTCTAAATTATTATTACACACAGAAGCGATGTATAATGATAAGGTTCCATTGCCTTCCCTGTGCCTGTGTGATGTAGTGGTGCAAATGATATTTAAAAAAAAGTAATCATAATGGAATCTAATGTCTCTGCAAAGTGTATGATAAAATGCTAGTTCCAGAGCCAATTCTATTTTACTCCGGACTTGTTCAGAACGCAATTTTTCTTTTCCCTATTTTGTGCATTTTTTATTACCATCGCTAAAAACTTAAAAAATATATGCAGCATTTGGGTACGTGTGGTGAATTGTTCAACACCCTGTGACATATCCACCTTCAGTGGGATCATTGTGAGCTAGTGCAGATTCTGTCAAATATATGCTGGTACACAAAAATGTAAAATAAAAAAATGCCTATAAAAAAGAGATTATTATAATTTTAAAGAATCTATGTATTGATATTACCTGTTGGTTTGAAAGGGTGCCTATTTTTTTATAACCCAGTGCCAATACTCGGGCTCCTTGTCGCGACATCTCAAAGTGAACATCATCATAATTCTCTGGCACCTCAGAAAACTTAAATAGAAATAAAATAAGTGAAACTCAAAGTCAGAGCACCATGGACAAATGGTCATTTGTTTCGAAAAGGAAAACAAATAAATGTGTAATGTCAGTTGGTAAACAATACAAATTATCATAAATTTGATTTAAGTTTGGCAGGGATTGAACACAGAGGGCGCTATTTCAAAAATCAATGAACAGGAATGCTAACCTAAAGGGCAGGTACTCTTTGGGTCTCATGCCACTAATCAATTTAAATACCTAGCAAGGACCAATGAAATTTTTTCAATATTTTTTTTCTCAGGTGCTCCCTGTTTGAGGGCGTAATCACCTGGGTCAGAGGTGAGACTAACATGTGGTCTTTTGTTTACTACTTAGCGGCTGTGTACCTGTGGGTTTATTCTGTGTGTATTTGGATGTTCTAATCTTGGTGTTTTCCAGTGATTTCTCTAGGTGCAATTCAAATACAGTAGGTGTGTCTCGTTTACCTGATATTTTTGCAAGAGTTTGAGCTGGCCAACATGTTATTTTTTTTCATATGGTTGATTACTGGCATGTTGATTCCGCATTTTTGAGCCATGTTTTCAACTTTGTTTATCATTCTCATATAGCAATCTCTTCATATGTTAACATTGTTGTTGCCCTTTGACACAATGCAAATAGAATGCACTTCATATTTGAAGACAGCGCCCTCAGTGGTGAATATCGAGTGAACTTTTTCTTGATACTTTCTACTGTACAGTGCAGCTTGTCTAAAAGACACGTTTTATAATAAAACACACAAATGTGGTGATATCAAACCATGTACCATTTCTTTAAGTGTTTCTGGAGCTCCTTTTACTGTAGACATGAAAACGTTTTCAATGGATCCAGTTTCTTGGTACGATGCTAAGACAGACATCCTTCGTAAAGCACTGGAGAAATGAAATCTGTGTGCAATCTTCAGAGGTGGGCTTCTGGTTTTTCTCGGTATCATCACATCATCTACAAAGTAAAAGCAGCCATTTGAAATCACTTTTGTTTTTAGTAGTAGTGCCATTTAATTATCAAACACTTTACTTTTTTTGATGTTATGTTTTATCAATATACTTTTCCCTCAACTCGCACATGTCCTGGCAATAAAACGTTTCTATGATATAAAGATGCGAAGGCCATTCAAAATGCTGACACTTGATGTGAGAACGTTGTTATTTAATATCAGTCAGAACTAAGCACAGTAAAATGTTAAATTCACAAATTTGAAACAAGTATGTATCAGATTTTTGACCTGATGAAAAATCAATACATTCATAGTATTTGGAATTGATTACCCTTAAACTGTTGTCGCCACTCAAACAAAAGAAGCATTTATTTTGTATATTTGTTTCCAAAGAGTGAGATTAGGACCTGTACTAATTGGACCACAATTAATGAATCAAAGAAAGCTTAGAAAGAACTCCCATGTGCTGAGAGTATTGGAGACACATTAAATATAATTTGAAATTACTGTACTTAGCTGAAAACTAATTATGCAAATCAGAAAATTAACATGAACAGATTTGATTGTAAAACTAATGAGGTCTGCGCAATGTAACAAAAACTCTATGTACCAAGTTT